TACCTATGCAAGACAAAATAAAGAAAACTTCTAGACATTCTCGAAAAGTAGAAAATCATATCACCAGTAAACAAAGAAGACAATACAAACGAAACCCAATTATAAACCAGTAACTGTTCTCGCTAAAGGAGAACCACTTAAAATTGTTTCAGAAGCACGATACAAAAAATCTCTAATTGACGAAACAAGTTGCAACTGGCCCATAGAACCATTACCAGTAAAATTAACAAAAAAAAACAGACACTATCATGGCACCGCTAATATGAATACTGCATGCAATCAAAAGCCATTAGATGAACAATCACGTCGACTCAAGCAATTCGTTATTGAAAATCCACAATAAGCATTCAAAAGATAGTTTTTTGGTTTATCCATGGGACCAGCAGCTTCTTCTGCATTTATGACTAAAATTTTTGGACCACTAACTTTCAGCAAAAACATCATTACAATTAGGACGATATCTTTGTACAATCCCAAACAAAACAAGAAATGTTTAGGTCTGTAGATAAATATCACCAAACTTTGTTAAGAGAAAAATGAAAGCAGCCCCAGATAAAAAATTTTTTTCCTCACCCGCGTAACATTTCTTGGACATATTATTGACATTTTAAGAATCCCGAATAGATCCAAATTTGAAAGCCAACCATCATCCAATAAAAATAAAGTCCAAGAAATGCTTGGAATGCTAAACTTCCTAAGTAATTGTTTTTAAAAAGGCAACTATATCTCAGACCGTTTTCCAACATTCTTCGACAACGAAATAATATCAAATGGTCTTTAGAACACCAGAAACGTTTCGATGAAACTAAAACTCTTCTCACAGAACAAACTTTAAAAAAAACTCCAGAATTAAACCAACTCTTCTATGCTTTGTGCGATGCTTCCAATTTTGGAATTTTTGCAGCCATTTTACAATCCCATCAAGGCATAAACAAAACTTACCTTATATCAGTAAAAATCAAAACTTTTTACACAGGCAGAACGCAAACTCTCCACACTTGTGAGAGAATGTACAACCGGAAAATATAGATTAACAGAATACGAACTCCTACTTCTTGGATCAAAGCGTCCAACAGTTTTGTTTACTTATCGCAAACCTATAATTTTTCTTTCACACAGAAAACTAATCCAAAACATAGAGTATACAGATTTCAACTTATTATTGAAATTTCCAAAAATACATATTTTTGGACAGCAGCCAAAAATCTTGCTTTACCAATTACACTCAGTCGAAATACACCACCTGAACTACCTGCATAAAAAACAACTGTAGAAATACCACAAAATTTAAAATTCTGTCTCGCAAAAGACGAAACATCGCCACTTTAGAATGTAAACACGCAGTAAAAATTAAATCAGATACTACATAAATAAATACCTTAAAACATATTCCACTATATCTAGATTGCCAAAACAATCAGTATGAAGTATATTTATTGGAAAAAGATTCCTTCAAACCTATACCATTTTCATCATGGATAAAAAATCATAACACAATTGAAAACATTGCAACAAAAGCCACAACGAAGTGAATCATATCCTTCAGTAGCAAAAGAAGACATAACGGATAATTCTTAGTTGTCAGGCCCTCCAGGCTTAAGTCAAAAATTACGATCAAAAAAATATTAGATTTACAAGATCCTTTGGATCGTATATGTCTATCCAAAAAATTATTGTTCTCCCTGACACAGAAACAAGGACAATTTCGTTATTACAGATATACCAAAACCTTGACCCTGTTATCAGACAACTTAACTCTTGCCATAAATACAAAACAAAATCCAAAGCCAATTTTACAATATAAGGAAATAAACCCTACTCCGATTTTTCCAAAAATTTAACAATACAACAATAGATGAAGACACTGACTTTTTAGATTATCATCACCAAGACACAAAAATACCCTGTCTACCACTGAGCTAAATTCTCGCATTTCACGTTTCACATACCTTACATGCAAAAGGACTTGTTGGTTCAGAAAAAAAATATATTCAAGTTTCAAAGATTTTGTTTTGCAAAACGCATCAATTCGGATGAAAGTACTTTGTAATGTTTGTAGTACATATCAAATAAACAAAACTTTCCCACACAAAAAGCAATTAGCAAAAAAAACTTCTAATGAAAAAGTTGAAATTTCAATCATAGAACCCTATTGATATCAAATGCCCTATATCCCCCTCCTCAGAAGGAAGTTCGTCCTATATAAGGGTAATAGTAGATGCATTTACACACTATGTAGCACTCAACCCTGTACTTTATTGCAACGCTTATAATGCTTACACAACACTATATGAACACTGGACAGCAAAATTTGGACTACCTAAAATCCTCGTCACAGACAATGGAACAAATTTCATAAACAGCGGAATTATTAGACTAAGTCACCTTTCTAATTTCAAATATAAATCTAGAACATCACATGAACAATGGACAAACGAACTAGTGAAAGGCATGAACCGCTCCTTCTTAGAATACCTTCGATGTATAATAAACGGAGACAATAAAAACACACCGAAAGGTCAACAGACGTGAAATTAATCTCATTAGCAAATAATTCTCAGATATACCAACGTTTGGACTATCACCATATGAAATGGTTTTTAAACAGAAACCATGAAAACCTATAATGTTCTCAGCAAGTTCTTCAAAAAATGCACAAAGTTACTGCCAACACAGAAGGATTCAATTTGTTATAACATACCACTTTAAAATCACGATGGAGATCATTTTCTTCATCCACGAATTTTATAGTTAGCCTCTGGAACCGATACAGAAACTTAATTTTTCATAAAGAAATCTCAAAAAAGCTACAATCTACTCGAAAAGGACTATATCAAAATATATAGAAACCTACAGATTCTAAAATTTAACATAATACTAAATAAACAATCTTCTACGATCGTATCCAAAAGAGTACGCCCCTCGTGAGCTAAAACAATTATATTCCTTCACAGTACTACGCTTTTTTGATAAAACAAAAGAAACTAATGGTCAAAAGAAAACCTAAAATTTCAATAGCTTACCACAATCACCTGATCCAACCCCTAACGAAAAATCAGAAAAACTTCGAAAACAAATGGTTCAAACAGTTAATCGTAAACTACGAGAAAAATTTCTAATACCCGAAATAGAATCACCTTAGAAAGAAACGTCAAGCAAGAAAAAGTTACAAAACTTTTCATCCACCTTCTAAAGTACTAAAGAAATTAGAATTCCAGCAATCCTTCGGTTAATTCAAGACATCAATAACAATTTTATTAGTACCCACTAAGGAAATCTCTACACAAAAAAATCGTTATCACTCTCAGAAATAATTAGTTCTAAATCAGCCAATCAAATCACTTGATACCATCTCACTTTTAATTTAAACACTATTACTTTTATTAGCGGACATATCTCCAACTTGAATTAGATCTATAACTCCAATTCAAAGACGTCCAGGTCAAAAATAAGCAATACCCTCCTGTTTGACAACCTAAATAAGTATCATATAAAGTTACAACCCTCTGATATCAACCAATACAAAAATCAACAAATTGTCTCAACTAACATCCCAAATTTAACGGGATATTCAATAAAAAAATATATATTCAACGGCCTAAAGACAAAATTCAACTCGATCACTTTAACGAACTTAACGCCACAATTAAGATAAATTGCAAAAAATGGCGAGCATCTTATCCATAATCAATCCGAAAATCCAAAGTAGATTTCCGAAAACTTGAAGACAAGTTAGGAAAAGCTGAAATCACAATAAAACCAGAGGAAGCAGAAAAATTAAAGGTAAAACACGTAAATAGTGTTCAAACATAAATTTCACATAACAAATAATGAAGAATCTGACTGTAAATTAACAAAAAAATTACTTTAAACCTAAACATCTATGAACAGAACTCGAAATTTAAAGGCAAACCATGATTCAAAAATTCAAAAATTATGTAACTAGTGTTGCAGATTTGGACAATGCATTGCTGATTGCAGACAAAAGCAACAAGATAATATAAATAAACCGCCAAAGTACAAAGAACTAAACAAATCATTTTATCAAAACATGAAAAAAGATCAGAGTTTACCGAACAAAAACAGTCAAACTTATGATAAATTGAATTGTAATAGCTTTAAGCTTATAAAAACCACTCCCAAGTAGCTATAGCAATAACAGATCACAATCCTCCTAATCTAATACTTTTTGCGGAAGATCACAAGATCGACAAAATTCACAAAACTATTCACAAAATCGATATAGCAGATCAAATATTCAATTAAAATAATCAGTACCCAAATAACTCCTCTAGCTCAAACTCCAACCGAAGTATTTACTAGGACTATAACCGAAATCGTAAATATTCAAATGCTCGGAATAGAAACTACTCCAATGACCGCTCAAAAACTCTTCAAACAACCGCAATCGAAATTATTCACCTAATCTTATAGAAATTACTCTAACAATAAGTCACAAAGCTATCCTAACAACAGACCGTACAATCATAACTAAAATAATAGCCCCGGAAGGTTGGAACCAGTTTAAAACAATTATTTTTTTATACATTTTAATTTTTTTTGTTTTTGATAAACTATCTCTATAAAATACTTTTTATATTATTGATAAACTATCTCTAAAAAAATATTTTTTGTATTTTTGAAAGGGGTATATCTGTATGAACTAACCAATCATGATTTATAGCTAAAAATTAGAACAATTTGTTTAGGTAGGACTGCTTTAGGTCTGATCATGTAAAAAAAGATTTACGGCATGTAACGGGAAAAAACGCAGATGTTTAAAATGTTGTCCACTATAGTTTTACGATAAAATTGCAAGCCGGCAGGGTGTTCTGATAAGGCAAAGAATCATAATAACTGCCTATTTTTAACTATTTACCTCGATTTCGTTTGTATTGTTTCGGGAGCAACCTAGCTCCCAATCCAGTCGGATGGTTCGAAAATTTTATGTTTCTTTGTTGTGTCTGAGGCATGTAGAAAAAAAATCGTTTGTTTCAGTTATCGCTTCTCGCTCTTTTGGCTAAGATCATGCATAATATCTGTTCTTGTCAGCTTATTATCTGGAATGCTGGGCGTTGCCTGGCACCAATTTTAAACTGAATTTTGCTTCTCGAGTTAACACCGAAGCTTGCTTCAGTCGACTCACGGGTTGTCCCGCTCTTACACTACTATCATAATTTGTCTACTTCAGGTCTGATCATGTTAATTTGGGCCTGATTATGTCTGGTCCAGGTATGATCATGTTAAGTGAAGTATGATCATTTCTGATTCAGGTCTGATCATGTAACTTCAGGCAAGATCATGTCTGGTCCAGGTATGATTTTGTAAGGTCAGGTATGATCATGTCTGCTTCAGGTCTCATCCTGTAATTTCGGACATGTACATGTCTGTTCCAGTTTACTTCAAGTCTGATCATATCTGACTCAAGATCTGATTTTTTCATAATTATCATGTCTGGTGCATGTCTGTTTCAGACATGTACAGGGAAAAAAGTGACATACCACAGGACTGATACAGATATGGATTTTGTATGTATTTTTCAAGTCCAGATTTGAATTTAACTACAAATTTCAGTACGGGCAAAAAATGTATATTGGAACCACTTCTAAGCTAGTGTTTATAACCAATTATATTATTGAGAAAATAATTCCTATTAATTTTTACTAACTAACCAATCATGTTCCATAACTAACACTGACAATTATTTGTAGTGCTGAAACTACTTGTAGTTTCAGCACCAGAACAATTTGAATAAATCATAGAAGACAGTTGTTCTCTTTTGGACAAGTTCCATAAATCTAACCCGCTAATACCAGTATACGCTAGATTTATTGAGACTAGGAGATATAAGAGTAAGATTACGATTGGTATTAGACTAAGAAGTTGCACGAATCTATCCGGCCGAAAAAAATCCGGCGTGACAAACAGACGGTGTACCTCATCTGAAATTACTCTATGAGAAAGTTAACTCTGGCTTAAACTCATTATTAGCGCACTTCAAAAAATCGCGCTTCAAAAAAAGCGCACTTCAGTCAATTTAGGAGAACCAATTCTTAGGTTTTGCTAGTTTTAACACAAAATGCTCCTCTCAACTCAATTTGAACTAGTTTTTGAGCCCCAATAAGTTATGGCGGCACTACTTGTTAGAATCAAATTAAAAATCGGAAACCAATTGAAAAAACAAATTAGAAATTTCCAATTGGAAGGTTCCAATTGATATTTTTTCGCGCTTTAATCAGAATTCTATGTTGGCCCAATTTTCCATATTACAGTCCGCATATTTGAAGAAAAAACTTCTCTAATGGGAGCAATGTGCTGATTGTTTTGATTGTTTTCGAGTATCTTAATAAGACTGCTAATAAAAATTATGTAAATTTTCTACAGTAAAAAAATCACCCGGACTCTAAAGTCTGAGAGACTCTAGCCTGGATGACATATACATTTTTTTAAAAATATTTTCATAATATTTTGTCCCCGTTTATCCCCGATTTTAATGTAAACTCAATTCGCAGCTACACACAAATTGAATGCCAAGATGAATTAGCAAACCTCAAACTTATGTGGATGGATTGATTTAAGAGCCGGATTGAAAGTGCGCATTCGCAACGGTCGATAAGCAACTGGATATTTGGCTTTCGTCAGGCGTATCCGAAACCTTTGGGGGCTCATCCTCTTCATCTGCATGGGACCTGTCGGGTCTGCACGCCACTATAGTAACCTCCCACGAGTCTGTCTAAAGGCTCGTTTTATGATTTACAATCATTGCAAATTATCCCGCACTACAAAAAACGCATTATAACAATAATAATAATAATTTGTTTCCAAATGATATCTAGTTACAAAGTTATTTATAAAAATTTATAATTACAAATTAGAATCGTTCGGGAGAACACCATTAAGCCAACAAGGCCCGTTTTCAGGTGTCTCATTGAGGCAGCTAATCTGTAATAATATCAATGAGGCAGCTAATTGATATTATTAATCCCATACACGAATCAAATTGTAGCATTTAAAATTGAATTTGATCAGCTTAAAATTCATAGTTTTGCCAATACCTAATTTACCAAAAACTATTCAAGACCAAATAAAGGGCAGTCGGAACATTCAGGGCTGTGCTATGATACGAGCAGTCTTGTTGGTGTTACTACTTAGGCTGGTTTTGTAATTCGAATAGTTTATATACCATCACTTTGCTATATGCAAAATATATCACTTTGTACTTAAGTGAGCGTGTGAGGGTGTTTCTGAAAACTTTTAGAATAAAGTTTTGAAAATTATATATTTTTTTAAATTTCAACTAGTCTATAAAATTTTTAGTCAGTCTTGTTTCATTTTTCAGTACGGGCATCAATATTTTCAATTGGTTGAAAAAAAGTTTGTCAAAGATTTTTGGTTGAAAATAGAAGCAAAAACAGCGAGCACAAATTTAATCTATCTGATACTGATTTGTACTATCAATTGAAAACGTTAACAAAACTGCTTGTATCAGGGCGACACCTTAGATGTTTCGACTGCCTTTTAAGGTCTATGGAGCAATAATAACATGAAAAAATTAAAAGTAAAAAAGAAAAAAAGTTGAGGTTTTTTGTAAAAACCATCCCCCAAACGCCAAATAAAGTACAAAGTGATAGATTTCGCTCATTGTAACAAATCAAATATGGCAAATAAGGTTCCTTCAACTAAGTTGGAACAATTTCTAAGACGCATTAAATCTTCATTTACGCGTTATTAGCGCGAAGTATATCGCGCGTTTTTTGTACCAAATAGGCCAAAATGGCAATCCTTAAACTCCTTTACTTTACAAAAAACGATCACAGGTAAAATATATTTTCAATTTTAAGCTCAAGACAACATCTTTTTGAATGAATTTTTAAATTACGGCAAAAATGGCTGGTTAAAAAGTCGAAACTTGTCTGAAGAAAAAAAAACACCCCGAGCACAAATATTCCCTTACTTTCGTTAAGAAAATCGGAACAACAACTAAATGCTTTCAATATTGCCGATTAAGTGCATCAAAGATCATTACTATCGTTTTCTCCTATCTACTATCATGCTTCTACTATAAGGGTTTAAAAGGTCGACAAAACTTGAGAACAAAAAATTGCGGCGCTCGCCACTGGTTCCGCCAGTGTACTGATAACTTGCGATTTTCCTATTTTCAAAGTAGAAAGATCAAGTGAGCACCTACAGACGCTGATTTAAGGGAGGGGGAGTTGGGTTGCAAGCTGACGCCTTTCTTCCTAAGGGATCCGACTCCATGGCCACCCAAAGGGTTCTTATTTTCAGGGGTGGATCTAGGTTTTTCTCGAGGAGGGATTTTAAAAAAAATCGTAAATTTTGTCGACCCTTTTTTTATTAGGTCAACCAATTTGATTTTTTGATCTCTACCAAATCACTATAAAGACCCAGGGGCGAAATTAGGGGGCGGTGGAAGGGTCGATGGGGGGTGGGGTGGACGGACGGACGCCTTTTGCTCTCAGGGATTCAACCCCTTGCCGACCCAAAGTGTCCCCCCTTTGATACTTTTTTAGAAATCCAATTTTGGCCGACTGATCCTAAAATTTTTCTACATAAATACGCAATTTTTTTGTCAAAGCTGTTCCAAAAGGTGCCCAAAAACGGCTTTTTTTACTGTTTTTTCAGAATTGCATTTTTTGGCGCGCGCTCCCCCTCAAAACAAGTATATTTTGGCGCCAAAGACACCTTTTAGAACAATTTTCGGGTAGAACAGCCAAAAATGGATAACTCAAAATAGTACAAAAGGGGACCCTTTGTGTCGGCAGGAGGTCGAACCCCTGAAGGAATCGTAGAAACACGGTTTGCTTGTCATGACCTTTCAAAAAGAGCTCAAAAAAACCATTTTGTTCGACGTGAAATGTTCGGCTTTTTTCAGGGGTTGATGTAAAATTTTCTCGCTAGTTTGCAAAACAATTTGAAGCCCCTAAATTTTTTGAAGCCCCTGAGCAACTAGATATGGAGAGCGAGAAAATTAGTTGCCATCACTTCTGTATAAGTTTTTTGAAGCCCCTGAGCAACTAGATATGGAGAGTGAGAAAATTAGTTACCATCACTTCCGTATAATTAATTTGAAGCCCCTGAGCAACTAGATATGTAGAGTGAGGAAATTAGTTACCATCACCTCCGTATAATTTTTTGAAGCCCCTGAGCAACTAGATATGGACAGTGAGAAAATTAGTTACCATCACTTCCGTATAATTTTTGAAGCCCCTGAGCAACTAGATATGGAGAGTGAGAAAGTTAGTTACCATCACTTCCGTATAAGTTTTTTGAAGCCCCTGAGCAACTAGATATGGAGAGTGAAAAAATTAGTTACCATCACTTCTGTATAATTTTTTGAAGCCCCTGAGCAACACGATATGGAGAGTGAGAAATTTAGAAATTTAGTTACCATCACTTCCGTATAATTTTTTGAAGCCCCTGAGCAACTAGATATAGAGAGTGAGAAAATTAGTTACCATCACTTCCGTATAATTAATTTGAAGCCCCTGAGCAACTAGATATGGAGAGTGAGGAAATTAGTTACCATCACTTCCGTATAATTTTTTGAAGCCCCTGAGCAACTAGATATGGACAGTGAGAAAATTAGTTACCATCACTTCCGTATAATTTTTGAAGCCCCTGAGCAACTAGATATGGAGAGTGAGAAAATTAGTTACCATCACTTCCGTATAATTAATTTGAAGCCCCTGAGCAACTAGATATGGAGAGTGAGAAAATTAGTTACCATCACTTCCGTATAATTAATTTGAAGCCCCTGAGCAACTAGATATGGAGAGTGAGGAAATTAGTTACCATCACTTCCGTATAATTTTTTGAAGCCCCTGAGCAACTAGATATGGACAGTGAGAAAATTAGTTACCATCACTTCCGTATAATTTTTGAAGCCCCTGAGCAACTAGATATGGAGAGTGAGAAATTTAGTTACCATCACTTCCGTATAAGTTTTTTGAAGCCCCTGAGCAACTAGATATGGAGAGTGAGAAAATTAGTTACCATCACTTCTGTATAATTTTTTGAAGCCCCTGAGCAACACGATATGGAGAGTGAGAAATTTAGTTACCATCACTTCCGTATAATTTTTTGAAGCCCCTGAGCAACTAGATATGGAGAGTGAGAAAATTAGTTCCATCACTTCCGTATAAGTTTTTTGAAGCCCCTGAGCAACTAGAT